CACACATGGAGTCCTGGTGTGGTGCTGTAGGATAAGCACTTGACTGCTAACCACAAGGTCATCAGTTCAAGCCAACCAGTAACTCCTTAGACACCCTATACAGAGTTGCTGTGAATCTGAACTGACTTTACAGCACTTACTGAAACACACAGGGTCAGGGTTTCAAAAGTTCATGGAAAAATTCCATTATCTTTCTGTTCCATTTTCCACATGCTTTGAAGCCCCCCCGGTACATATCATGATGTATACACACATACAACATGAAATGTGTCTGCAAGTGCCTACTGGCTGCTCAGGATGCTGCGGTGGATGCTTGTCCCCACCTTGAAATTGCTGACAGTCTGTTTGAAGCTCTATTGTCTCAGAACAATGAGGAAGCAGCCGTATATACTGCAGCGAATGCTTAAGGCCCAAGTCTGTGAGGAGAGACCAAATGCTGCAGCAAGTTTGAGAACGGAGGTTGCAGTGAATAACCAATGTCATGGGCAAGCATCGGGAGAACGTAGGGAAAGGCTGCCTGGTGAGGACAAGATTAAAAGCTGAGCTAGAAATACACCGGGAGGAAGAAGAAGGGGAAGCGATGAGGAATGGTAAGAGCGGATTGTGTTTAAGCGAGTGGGAAAGGCACCAGCTGAGCAGCAGGAAGACATATCAAGACACAAGTCAATAATGTTGTTGTGGTAAGTGTAGTGGAGCTGGTAGAAAGTCTAGAAGCCCGGCAAGCTGGTGAGACAGAGATGGGGCAGGACCTCAATTCCACAGCTGAGCCCCTCACCAGGGTCTGCAAACCAACTTTCAGCTCCCCTAGCCGCTCCTTTGTGGGCTTCTTTAAAAACCAACATGGTAGCAAGAAGCTTCCAAACTCTGAGCCACAGGAAGGTCCAGGAAGTTCCCAAGACACAGTGCCCAAACCTCCTCTTGAGATAGAAAGCCCTGATGCTCCAGAGCAAGGTTTAGCACTTTCCAGGTTCCAAAACTCTCCAGGAGATGGACCGACAGACACAGTGTCTGCAGCATGGCAATGGACTCAACCATGGCAATGATTGTGAGGGTGCTGCCGGACCAGGCAGGGTTTCCTTCTGTTGTACATGAGGTACATGTGAGTCAGAACTGACTCAAACGTACCTTATAACAGTTTAAACCCAAGCAAGGTGGAGCCAGAGATGCCAGGAGTCAGGGCTAATTCTCAGACCCCACGGGCTGACTCACACCTGGGCTCAGGAATCTGTCTCGACTCCCATCCCATTCAGCTCCTTCCCAGGGACTGCAGAGCCACGAGCATTTGGGTCCTTCTGATGTTTGCAGGTGGAGGAACTTCTGTGTAATCTGAACAGCATTCTGTACGACACCGTGAAGATGAGGGAGTTTCAGGAAGACCCAGAGATGCTCATGGATCTCATGTACAGGTAAACCGTCCCGAACAAATCCGGAATCTCTGGGAGTTCTCACTAACGTCGTGACCCCGGGCAGTGGGGATGACATCCAGTAGAACTCGGTAGAAATGAAACATTCAGAATGGGTCACCTCATAGGAGTTTACAAGGTTTTTGTATATGTTTTCAAAACCATTTCCTTCATTCAAACTACAACACTATGTTTAACTCTTTGGATTATCCCCTGGGGTGGTACAATTAGTTAATGCACTCAAGTGTTAATTAACTAAAAGGTTGGGAATCGGAGCCCACCCATAGATGCCTCGGAAGCAAAGCCTGGCAACCACTTCTAAAAAACCCCTCCGGTGCAAAGTTCTACATCCAGGGGCGCCATGAGTGGCAGTCACCTCCATGACGTCAGGTTTATCCTCTGCCTACCACAGGATGAAAGCGAAGACAAAAGCCCCTTTGTTGTACCAATTCGTGTTTACACGGTTTTGATCCTATTCAAAAACAAGCCCATTGAAGTTTACTGTGGAAATCATGGTCTGTTCTGGAGACTAGAGCTAAGCCCTGCTGTCCTGGTTTAGGAAGAACTCTTTAACAAGGCAAAATGGTTGTGGTGGCCACCCTTAGGTGGAAAATCATTTTGTCATCTGTTACTACTCTGAGAGAAAGAAAAGAAAAGGAAGAAATTTGCTAGCACTCTGTTAAAATCTGCATCATTCTAGAATGCCTGTCTTTTTTTCCCATGAAGTTTTCGTGGTGGTTGTTCTGTCCGTCCTGTCGATTTCTGCGCAGAGCTATCCCATGCGGCTTTCTAGGTTGTCACCTTCCTCACCTTTACTGAAGCACGTTGTCTGGTCTCTTGCCTTCAGAGACGAGGTGGGTCCAGACCGCCACCTTCGAGGCTAGCAGATGAGTGCTTAGCCACTGCACTACCAGAACTCTGCTAAGGTTTTTGTTTTTTGGTTTCCTTTTCCTTTTCTCTAAATGTTGAAGCACTGGTGGAAGCGCTGTAGGACAAGCACTGAACTGCTAACCCCACAGTCGGCAGTTCAAACCCACCAGCCGCTCCTTGGGAGAAAGCAGTCTCAGAACCCCTATCCAGGGCCATGAGGAGTCAGAGCCAACAGAACAACACCTAACAACAGCAGAATCAACACACCTACAGGGTCCCTGGTGCTGCTGTGGGTCAGGCACTAGGCTACAAACCCCATGGTCAGCAGTTCAAGCCCACCAGCCGCTCCTTGGGAGAAAGACAAGGCTGTCTGCTCCCATAATGATTGTTGTAGTTAAGTGCCGTCGAGTTGATTCCAACCCTGTATAGGGTTTCCAAGGAGCAGCTGGTGAGCTTGAACCACCGACCTTGTAGTTCAAACGACTTTGCAGTCTGATGCTTTAGCCCACAGCGTCACACCAGGACTCCCCATAAAGACAGACACTCTCAAAAACTTTTGTAGACTTCCTGTTGGCACGGTAGAATAAGCACCAAACTGCTAACTGTAAGTTCAAATGCACCACCTACTGTGTGGAAGAAAGATGAGCCTTTTGTTCCCATAAAGATTTACAGTCTCAGAAACCCTACACAGGGTCGCTGTGAGTCAGAACTGACTCAAAGGCGGTGGGTCTGGTTTTTAACTTTTTTTTAGCACATGTGGCGCTGCAGGATAATGTGGTGGACCACAAGGTCAGCAGTTCAAACCCACCAGCCGCTCCTGAGAAACACGGTCACTATGGGTCAGAACCACACTTAACACCAGCAACAACAAGCTAGACATGGCGTGAAAACGACCGGATCGATCCGTGGTTGCCTTTTCTCTCATTTTCTAAATAGCTTGCAGAATTCTCAGGGGGTGGGGAGATGGTGTTGTGAAAGTCTTTCTCACTCGGTCTGCAGAATCGCCAAGAGTTACCAGACGTCTCCGGATCTGCGGTTGACCTGGCTCCAGAACATGGCCGAGAAGCACACCAAGAGGAAACACTACACAGAGGCCGCCATGTGCTTGGTGCACGCTGCTGCCTTGGTGGCCGAGTACCTGAGCATGCTGGAGGATCACACCTACCTGCCTGTGGGCAGCGTCAGCTTCCAGGTAGAGCCCAGGGCTTTGTGACTGTCCCAGCGAGGGTTCAGATGGGGTGGAAACCAGATACAGAGTCAGTAAGAGTAGGAACTAACTCGACAGCACGTAACAACAACAATATATGGTATTTCTACTTACAATAGTATTATATAATATAGTATTCCTATTATATTAGCTGGAGTCCTGTTGTGGCTCTGTGGGTTAATGCGCTGGACTGCAAGGTCATTTGAACCACAATGTTTGTGGTTCAAGCTCACCAGTCACTCCTTGGAAACCCTATACAGGGACCTATGGGTTGAAACCGACTTGATGGTTAACAACAACAATTATAGTAGCTATTGATACTCTAACAGTAATAATGTTTACTACTATGGCACCGTGGGCTAAGCACTGAACTACCAACTGAAAGGTTGGTGGTTTGAACTCACCAGCTGCTCCGCGGGAGAAAGGTAAGGCAGTCTGCTTCTATGAAGATTTACAGCCTTGAAACCCCGTTGGGACAGTTCATTCTGTCCTCCAGGGTGGCTAGGAATCAGATCAACTCAAGGGCACTGTTGTTGTTGTTGTTAGGTGCCATTGAGTCGGTACTAACACATAGCCACCTTATAAGACACATCCTTGTCCACAAGTATGCTGGACGCTCCCAAGCACTTTCACACACGTGGTTTCATTTGACCTTCAGAAGCAGCCTTATGAGGCTGATGGCAGGCCTGGGGTGGTGCTGTGGGTTAATGTGCTGGGCTGCAAAGTTGTTTGAACCTCAAAGTCAGGGGCTCGAGCTCACCAGCTGCTCCTCGGAAACCCTATATACAGGGGCACTATGGGTCAGAACCAACTCGAGGGCACTTAACAACACATTCTGCAGAAGAAGGAGCTGATAAATACAGGCATTTTTTAAAGGTCATTTTGGTGTACCTCTGTAGGATAAGCACTCAACCACAAGGTCGGTTTGAACTCAAGGTCGGCAATTCAAACTCACCAGTCACTCCTCGGAAACCCCATACAAGGTCTCTGAGTCAGGACAGGAGGATGAACAACAACAACAACAACAGTTTCTTCTCAAACTGCCCTAAAACAAAGAGTCTAGATGACCTTCAGAAGCGGAAACAGATAGCTGTACCTCTCACTTCCTTTATCTGCAGATAGTCATATTATTATCTCTTTGAGCACTGAGATATGCCTGAAGCAATCCATGGTATTTTCAATCATCTGCCATGCATGAGAAAGCTGGATAAGGACTAAGGAAGACTGGAGAAGAATCGATGCCTTTGACTGATGGTGTTATTGAGGAACGATAGTAAAAAAAAAAACAGATCTATCTAGGAAGAAGTACAGCCAGAAGGTTCCTTAGACGCCAGGGTGAAGAGACTTGATCCTGTGAGTTTTAGACATGCTATCAGGAAGGATCAGTCCCTGGAAAATGACATCATACTTGGAGACTTAGAGACTCTGAAAAAGAGGAAGCCCCTTAAGGAGATGGAATTGACACAGTGGCAGCTCAAACCTGACAATGATGATGAAGAAGGCAAAGGACCAGGCAGTGTGTCGTTCTATTGTGCATAGGGTCGCCATGAGTCAGAACCAACTCCATAGTACCTATCAGCAACAACAAACTATTTCTTTGAAGTCAAAGATCGACGTTGGCAAAGCAAATGGAAAACCAAAATCTATTTTCCAAGCATTAGAGCAACATTTGCCTCTTTTGGACTATTCCTCAGTTCCACTTCCCAACTCCGATGAAGACAGGCTGATGCTGAGAACAATCCATAACTGGCCAGGAACTTGTGTGGCAGACCTGTTCGCTGGCCCAACACAGGATTGCAGTGACCACTTGGACAGTTGGTTTAATGCAGTCTTTAAAAACAAACACCAGTTTCCTGAGTACTTTTTGTGTTTTTTTTTAAGATAACAATCTTCAGAGATGGCCAATCCTGAAACCATGAATATGGAGGCCAGTAATCAGAGCTTTTCAGAAGAGATTTACCCAGGCATTTACAAGTATTTGCATTCTTCCCCTTTGAATTTAGGTGGCTGGTTTTATGACACTTTGTTTTCAGGACTTTTGTCCAAGCACAATTTGGTGATGCTGTCTCTGTGAACCAGAAAAGGAAAGACAGTTCAAAGGAACTTTCCCAGGCTTAGAGAATAAGTAATTACAACTTTCTGATTCCCTAGAACATGGGATATTACCCCTCTTTCCTGTGGCACCCATAGCAAAATTCTTGGTCCTATAATTCCACTCCCAGCAAATGAATTCTGTTTCAATCAGTGGTGTTTATTATGTGACCCCTCTAAGACCCAATCATTGAGTTCTTATCCAAAAGCATAGAAAAATTTTACGTCAGATTTTTGCAACACGTAAAAGTGAGCAAGCAAGTTATAAAAATGATTTTAGATGTGTCTGCTTCTTTCGTCAGACTTATTTGAGCCTGACCATTGGTATGGTCCAGGATAAATATCCTAACACTACTCATGATTTCCATAAAATCTTTTAAAGGAACTCCGGTGGCACAGTGGTCAAGCGCTGGCCTGCTAACTGGTAGGTTGGTGGTTCAAACCCGTCAGCCACTCCATGGAAGACAGATAGAGTCTGTCTGTCTCTGTAAAGACTTACAGCCTCATACACCCTAGGGAGAAGTTCTTCTCTATTCTCCAGAGTTTCTGGGTGTCACAATCAACTTGACAGTTTGGATTGGGAAGGTTTGTTTACTCTTGCAATCCCCAGGAAATCTGTAGGCTTATAACTCAGTGTTGAATGATGTCATCTCCTGTTTTTGTTTCATGAGCTGAAGTATTTTCATTGTTTAGACCCCTCACCACATGCCTTTATTATTATAAATCTATAAAAACATAAGAGCACATTGGTCATTTCAACATTCTGTACATGTAGAATCTTGGGACTTAGTTGTGTTTGTCACTTGTGTAGCCATTCCTACCATTTACTTCTAGACTTTTCCATCACCCTGAACAACGAGGTCCCCTCCAGCCTCCCTGCTCACCACTCCTAAACATCAATCTGTATATGTTTGCCTAGTCTAGGTGTTCTATACCAGCGAAATCATACAATGTGCCCTTGTGTAATGAGCTGATTTCACTTAGCAACTTCTTTTCAAGGTTTTCCCGCATTGAGCAGGCATCTGCTTCACTCTTCTGCCTTCTGCTGCCTTCTCTCCAGGCTCCGGTGTTATCCCAAGTTTAGAAAATTCCCAGAGCACCTTATTGGCTCTGACTGGGTCATGTGCCCACTCCTGAACCAATCATAATGGCTAGGGAATGCAGTGCTCTGATTGGCTGGAGTGAGGGGTAGGTTCCCCTAAGAAAGTGAAGATGCCCTTCTTCAGAAAGATGAAGGACATCCAGTGTCATTAACAACAGCTGTTCCATGTAGATTTATAAAACACTGCTTTCATTTTCAGCTTCATTCAACTTCAGTTAAAGGGAGTCTCTCTCCTGCTGCTGACTGAGAAGGCAGGCTTCATTTAGTAACTACCTGCAGCATTGTGCCTAAAGAACATTGAGGTCACATCCAGTCTCCATGGGAAAGACTGCTGTAGTTGATTAGTTATGCCTGTCATGAGCACAGGAACTAAGAGTCAGGCGTGCGTGCTACCTGTATTTGTTGTTATGTGCAGTGGAGTCTGACTCATAGCAACCCTGTACAGAGTTTCTGAGGCTGTGAATCTTTATGGGAGCAGAAAGTCTCATCTTTCTCCCACGGAACAGCTGGTAGTTTCGAACTGCTGACCTTAAGGTTCGCAGACCGATTCATAATCATTACGCTACCAGAGCTCCTATGTGCTACCTGTTGTTGTTGTTGTTGTTGTTAAGTGTCATCGAGTCGGTTCCGACCCATAGTGACCCTGTGTAGGGTTTCTGAGGAGCAGCTGGTGAGCTTGAACTGCTGACCTTGCAGTTCAAATGGCTTTTAAGTCTGGCACATTAACCCACAGCACCACACCAGGACTCCCAAAAACCTGTATAGGAATCTTCTAAAAGCTCATGGAATTAAAAAGATAGTAGAATTTTTCTGCCAACTTTCTGAAACCCCCACATGTGTGCATATATAT